AGGCAAATTAAACTTGTTAAATAAGCCTCAAAGTGACGGGCGCAATGGCAATACCACTCAGATCTTTGTGGTTTTAAGCTCTCGATGGCACTGTGTTATGGACAGGCGTGTCGCTTACCACCAGCACGACTTGTTCTATTGCAGCGGTAACTTGTCTTCAAAACACACTTTCTTGTTAAGCAATACCACTTAATTTCTCAAACAAATTTAGCATTTAATATGCCACCTATCTTCATGGTAAAATTAAAACGATAAACAGCTAACTGACTGAAAGCAGTAAACTGACAAATTGTTGCTAAGAACGCATTGTGTTTTCCAGCAAATACTGAGTTGGTGACTCTTTTGTTACCACAGCTGACACCATACAAAATAGCTTTGTGTTTGTGTCTTTTTTATGTAATTAATTTGTATTGTTTTATTTCACATTTTCCTTTTTTATGATCTCATGTATATTGGAAATGAAACCATTTTTTTCGGATAATCGCTTGTATTTATACAAGATTTAGACCCGAAAATAATTAATTTCCAATAAAGATAAAGAAATTTATCTCAGCATAACTTAATCTAATACTATACTAGTAAAATAAATTTAAATAAATCTATTATAGTATTAAAATAACCATAATAGAAGCAAATAAGAAAGGAACCTAAATTATACGATCTTCATAGTGATGCTATACATTTTAATATTAGAACCCGATGTGTTTTGCGATGCCTAAACTAAGTAATTGTGTATCGGTACTTTAGGCATTTTTTTTGGGCAAAAATCTTTATATTATAGCTTAAAAACAGATTTTCTATATTTAACAATAAGATAATTAGTAGTTTATATAAATTAATGGTTATATAAAAATAATTATTTAACAACTTCCAGCAAGTCCTCTGTTTCATTGTAAGTTTTACTTATAAGCCAGAATTTGACGGTATTTTTACAGTCTATTTTATTCATGGCGAAATAATGCAAAGTAGAATTTAATTTATAATATAAAGTATGTACAACAATCGCGAAAAATTCATGACTAATATTGTAATTTTTATTTTTTGTTCTTTTGTTTACATTTTTTGTATTATAGTTGTTTTTGTTGTTGTTTACCGTGGTGATATTTGTGATAACTAAATAAATGTCTCTTCTTTCGTCTTCTTTTTTCAAAGCACTGCAAATAATAGATTCTAGAAACTAAGTGAATGTTATTACGAAACCAAAATAGAATCAAATTCATTTTCATAGGGCACACTCGCAGATCTCTGCTCTAGAAAAGGTGTCGAGGCAATATTAAATATAAAAATTGTTAAAAAGTATAACAAGTAAATTCCGATTGTGTACACCGATGTACTGTTATTAACCTCGTTCACATTACCCGCAATAAAAGCGTTTGTTCTAGACCGAATGAGTCATTAACATCTGATCTAACGTGTGTACTTTTGCTCACTTTGTTTACAAACGTGACCGTTTTAGGTAAATATTGTATGAGCATGTATGAAGAGAATTTTTAGTAAGCCAGACCTTGAAGCTGGGGTTTTAGGGTAATATATTTACTATATTACTATACAACATAGCTGTAAAAAAGAAGAACTACAACACAATGTCGGAGAAGGAAGGTTTAATTAACACTTAATCAAAACGCGTGAAGTCCACAGCCCGCATTTATAAAAAACTGATTCAAATCAATTACTTTGGTGAATTGTAAATTGAATCAATCATAAATTAGTAAATTTATTACTTTACTATAATAAAGAACCTTTAATATAATAAAGCTATATATGTGATCATTCGTCAAAAGTGCTTTTATCACATGAACGAACTAGTACACGTAACAAATGTGAAATTACTTACTTACTTACTTACTTATTTAATTGTAATAACTTTTTATAAAAAAACCGAATATTTAATTCGTGGAGTGGTTACCGGGAAGTGCGCGCAACCGGATTCATCCCCTAGTTTGCCACCCTTAAAGGTGGAATAATATCTTCGAATTTAAATAGGACTGAGGTACCCTCTTTCCTTTTAACTGCCTCTGTGGATGAACGGTTACCGTGCCGGACTGCCACGCAGAGATATTTATTTCTCTCGTGAGTTTTGGTGTAATTTGTGGTCGTCTATGTATGTGTCCATGGCACCCGCGACACAGGGTTTCATAGTGCGTGACTGTTGAGTGTGTGCGTTATTAAAAAAAATAAATAATAATCAGCGCAATCGGTTCACAAATGCCGAAGTAGCCGTGTAACATACACACAAAAAAATAGACAAATTGAGAACCTCCTCCTTTTTTTGAAGTAGGTAAAAAAGTTATAGTAGATTCTTTAAACATCTTTCCTGAAAATTTATTATTTTGCAGATGTTGCCTTATTACACAAAAGGTGCGATTTTGTTCTTTATGGTTTCAGATGGAAACACGTTACATTATATACTTCAATGATTGTTTTCAATGCAGTTTGGGCCAATTAATGCGGACTATAGCCAAAAACAATCCCTTTAGAAGGAAGTATGTGGTTGGATACAAGATTGATACGATTGATACAAGATGGATAAACTATGATACCATTCATTTATTTACTTTATTTCAACCCCACACAGCTTAATATGAAATTCCAATTACATTTTCATGCAATTGCTGATCGCTAAATGTTTTTTATTGTTAAATGTTTGGAAGTCATCGAATAATTTGTTCAACAACTTATAAGCATTTTATATTTATACTGAGTCTGTCTAGACTCAAATTAACGTCTTACTTGAATTACAGTCGTCATAATAAAATCTCAAATTCATTTATAATAAGACTCCGATTGATACTCAAAATTTGCCATTTACGCGTTTTAAAACTACAGTGAAACAAAAATTTTGTACTAAAAGTATATATAATAATAATTATACAGCTTCTGAGTACTTGGAAGACAAAAATCCTTGGTAACAACCCGTTTAATTCTTTCATGTATTCTCAATCTAAGATGTTTAAATTAAATATTGTAATGATAAATGTTTTCAAATGTATTTTTACAAAGAGCAACCCCTAGAGTTTCTTGCTCATTCATCTCAGGGGAATCTAACTTGCGAATGAGCAGTAGAATTTAATCAGTATGACGATTTCAAGTGTACAAATTTACCTATGAAATAAAGATTCTTTGACTTTGACTTTGAATATTCGTATCTGGAATTTTTTTGCTGGGAAAGGTCAACAGACTTAGCTTAGTTATTTGTGTAATATAGGCATTTCCAAAAAAACTGTATGTAAAATATTGAAATATTTTTTTTTACTTTGGCACAATAAACGTTATTAAACGTCTTGCAAGAAGCTTGCAAGTTATATTTAGCACTAATAATATTGCAATTCTTTTTTAAAGAATTTTTCTACTGGCAACTCAAACATCAAACGTTAACACTAGCGCCTACGTTTTAAAAATCGCAATAATATGGAAAAAATGGCGGGTTTTTGTAGTTACAGTATTTACACAAATTAATTTTTAGTTCAGGTATTATTACGTTTTGAGTTTCGTAATTATTTGTTACTTGTTTAAGCTGATGGCTATACATATAGCCAATGCTCAACAAATAAATAATAATAATTATAAAAATCGAAATGTAATTTATTGTAGATAGACACAACAAAATTCAAAAACTTCCTTAACTATTAACTTTTGTTCTTAGAATAATAACGCATAGACACATTGTCCGCACACGCTAAGTGAGGCAAATTGAAGCGCTCCCAATGGGCCTACACGAGCGGGCGGGCCTTCAGTGCTCAAGGTCAACTTGCACCGCGAACAGATCAAGAATTTTAGCTAAAAATGACGAAATGTGCGGTAGGTGAGTGTAAAAATACGTCAGACAGACATAAAATAGATACTAAAATCACATTCCACAAGGAAGTAAAGCGTTTCAACTTGTATTTTTATATAAATATTCACTAAAACCGAAAATTAACCTACTACTAAAACTAGCCTTCATGAATTTGATTTTTTCCTCACTTGTGACAGTTCGTTTGATATGAAACTATCATTCTATGCGTTATTATTCTAAGGATAGACACAACAAAATTCAAAAACTTCCTTAACTATTAACTTTTGTTACTATTAAGTCATAATTCTTTTTTCTATGTTTTGAGTTGTATTTTTCCTATCGCTCCTATTTATTTATCTTTAAGGACTTAAATTTCCATGATCCGTATCTTAAATTCGCAATTTTAAAATAAAATAAAAAAATACTTTGTTATCTTTTGTGAGAACCGTGTAAAGCTAAGAAAAAAACAGGTTGTCAGATTTAAATACTTTTATCTATACAATTATATAGGAAGTAACACAAACTGTATAAAAGCTCCATAAATATTACAATATCATTGTCACAAATTAACTGACCATATCACAAGCGCATTATTTCGTTAGCCTTTTGTGTCATCACCGCTAACACCTGACCTGTGTTTTGACCTATAATTCTGATATAATCGTAATAAATGTGATGATCGGCAGAGGTCTAACTTACCTGGACAGTTAGCTATTGTTACTGCGTTCAATCATGATTCGACTGTGGATAATTGCGTCAATACAATGTAATTGAACGATATTGATGGACAATGGAAATATTTTTGATAGAAACGACCATCTAATGGTACATTTATTAATAGTAATAATGCACCAAACAACTATAAAAGTAACTAATATTAAAGTAGAAATTTCCGTGTACTTTAATTAAGACATAACATAATGATGACTGAGAGAGAAAGAAATTAGTAACTTCATAAATTTCTCATAGATGACGAAAAAAGTCGTTTACTCAATATAAAGATTTGTAAGAAACACATAGAGTAATTCGTACGGTTTCTTGACTCGGTCTGTTGCTCAGTTGGTTAAGAGAGGTCAGATCGAAGAAGTTTTTATTTATGTCAATAACAATAACAATAACAAATTAGAGGAGAATTTTTGCCAAAAAAAACGTACGGAAATCATAGTAAAACATCATGAATATTGCCAAAGAAATAAATAAAGTACAATAATTTTATCTCTTCCAGACATACTTCAACAACCAGCACTGGACAGAAGATAAAGAAGTGTACTGCTCCAGTCATGTGCCGAAGATCGGACCTGGCCACCTGGACAACTCATCAGTCGGCATAAGAAGTGCTCTAAATGTACCTAAGAGCAACAACTACGTGAATGAACAGATTCGTGGCTTAGCGAGAAACAGTCATGATAATGAACGTGAGTACAGTTATTACTTTTACTTGAAGCGTAGTAGTAAGTATAATAATGGTGGGATGTGGTTTACACTAAAATAATTTCAATGGTCTACCAAAAGTCATTTGACAGAAAAAATACTTTCACAGATTTCTCACACTTGACGGTACGGCGAAAATCCGTCAAACGCATAGAAAAATAGATTGAATCGATCTGTAGCTCAGTTAGCAAAATTGTCGCCCGGATATGGCACAGACGCAGGATTGAGTCCTGTCAGATCACAGGAACTTTTTTTGTATTCGATCTTTGTATTTTTTTGTGTAATACCAAGTGATGGGACGAACAAGTCGTGCGCCTGCTGGTAAGCGACACGCCTATTCATAACAGTTGCAGTGCCACTCAGAACTTTAAATCGCAAAGATGTTATGGGTACTGCCACTGCCTGCTGAGACGTAAGTTGACAAGTCCCATGTGCCTGTAATTTCACCAGCACCCTTACCCTTCTAAACCGGACCGCAGTAATGCTCACATTATTGCTTGGTGGCAGAAATCGATACGGTGGTAGTACTTCCCTGAAATTCTTTCACAAGAAGCTCTACTACTGCAACTATTAATAATTATTACGAACTAGTGAAGTAATTTCACAAAAATAAATTAATCTCATGGTAGTAAAATTTCATTATAATCAATATTATAATTTCAATTGCAAACGGGTAAATTCCAGTCAGCTTCTGATTTCTGTAGCTTCCAGTACAAATTCATCGGTTCTTGAACTTGACTCCCTAACCTCGGCCGACTGTGCCATTGCCGAGGAATACTGTCTCTAGCATTTAAAAATGTAAAAAAATATCTTTATGCTATAAAAGAATCGAGAATTCAAAATAATAATATAACTATAATAATAATGTACCCTACAATCTGATCAAACTAGGTTATTCTTTGTAACATGAGTATAATGAAATTTACGCAGTACCCTCGGACTCGTACCAATTACAAAGCTCCTAATGAATTAGTTGTAATACACTATCGGAACCGGGATCTCTTCATCAAGCGTCCATAAATTCTAACCACAGTGTGACAGAAATCGTCAAACTAAATGATTTGCGGTTTCTGTAGCCGACCAACTCTATCTCTTTTCAAGGTCATTGTAAGACAAAAAGAGACAGGCAGCATAGCGTCCTCTCGAATTAAACACTACAATGTCAGTGCCCAAAAATACGCCAACGTCAGATAGTGGTACAGTTTTACGCCGTATGCGGTAAAAACGGCGTAAAGCAACAGCCGCAATTCCTCGCTGAGGCGTTTTCATTTCACCTCATCGAAGCCTTTGGTGATTAAAAAGCCGGTACCTACTTCCTTTAGAAAAAACTTAACCAGCCAAGGGCTAAACGCTAATAGGTTACCTTAATTTTCGTGTGTTAACATAATAGGGCAATAATAATAATCATTAAAATATACTTGGATGTCAAAATAACACAAGAGAAAAAAAATTAATTAAAAAATAATTTTGGAACTAGGCTGTATGATTCTAATACCATTGCCTTTAAAGGATAAATATTTAGAATAGATTTAAAAACTTTTATTCAAAAATCTAATGAAAACAATGAAAATGAACAATAGATATGTACTATTAATAAGTAACTAATTAATCAAATTACAACAACGCTAAGAAAAATACTTCAAAAACACGTTTTAGTTTTGTCTAAACAAAAAGTTGCCAAGTTTTAAATATAAATACACGAATACAATAATTTGCATGTACTCGTTCATGTAATGGTCAATTATGCAAGTAATGGCATTGATCAACCTGCTTCAAGGTTAAGACCTATTGTCTTTCTGTGTAATACTCTACAAACTTAACTATTCACATAAGACTCCTTTGTTACTTTAGCAAAACATAATAAGTGTCATACATTTTCATTTGGAGATGTGAGTTTGCGTTTACTTTCATATAATTTATTGCTCAATTTTATTAATTTTCTTAACAAACTGCAATTTATAAATAATAAAATGTAATGGCTGCAATTGGAATTAAAATTGACAGCGTATTAATTGTTTATTGTAGTTTAATTGATTTAAAATAGACGTAAAAAAATTGCGTAATGAGGTTGTTGCAACAAAACAGTTGTAGATAACAATGGATTTATTTTATCCAGATGTTATTATTATAGGTATAGGTACTATATTTTACACAGTATTTCATCATCAACACTTTTACGCGTCCCATAGCTGGACACAGGTCTCCTCTCAGGCAAGGTCTGTCTTTTTTTATAATATTGATTAATGGGACGAACAGTTACAGTGCCACTCAAAGCTTTAAATCGTAAAAGTCTGAGGGATACTGCCACTGCTATTTCACACTGAGACATAAGTTGACAAGTCTCATGTGCCTGTAATTTCACCAGTACCCTTAACCTTCAAAACCGGAACACAGTAACGCTGACGTGCCTCCCTGAACGTCTTTCACAAGGAGCTCTACTGCTCATTGCGAGTTGGGGACTTCACGCGTTCTCCGACTGTTTTGAACCTTCTTCCTTCACCGAAAAGGTCAAAGTAAATTTCAAATTGAAATTTCGCACCTAAATTCCGAAAAACTCACGAGATACGAGCCCGGAATCGAACCCACTGCCTCTGCTTGAGAAGAGATAGGTCAAACTGTTAGGCTACCGTAGCTGTATTTACACAGTATTTACATGACATTAAACAAAGGTATCAGTCGGACGGGGTTGTACTATACTTACATAGAAAAAAACCTTCCTTGGCCTTTGTACTAATAAGTAATAACAAAAAATACTCTGCTGTAATATAATTTAGCAGAAAAGAAAAAATAATTCGTTACCTTTGACTCGTCTTTATAGTTAAATGTAGAAAATTTCATTAACAGCCGCACTCGAGGCGTTGCGTCGCGTCATGCCCGGGAGATGGGTGAAGTAGTAAGTACGAAGGGAAGGAAAAAAATACCAACATCCAATAATTTCTACAATAAGTTTCTGTATTTTCAATTTGTTTTGTAGAGAAAATTTAAACTTGGCTTTGTCTTGAATCTTCATCAAATCAACTTTTTTATCGCATCGAAACCCCAATGAAACCTTGGCCTATTTTTTACAATTATACTTTTTAAAGATTTTTTAGATGATTCCCTTTTCTCTATTTTGTTGCAATAAACATCAGATATGGATATACTTAATTGTAAATGTGTAAGGTCTAGAGATATACGCAGATGTTTCTTTTAGGTTTACGCTTAGGGTAACTCCACTAATAATTTAAATAAATGACTAAAATATATAATAACATAAAACTAAGTGTCTGCACTGTAACCAGTAAACATCAGAGGTCATTAAGGTCCTAATCCAAGTCCATACGCCGAGCTTCAGGTCACTAGGCTGTTGATTGGAATGTTGTCGGGTGTTTTGCAACAAGTTCTTCTGTCTCTTTTTCTCCTTAGCACTTTATATTTAGATATCCCTTTCGACCGAAGGTTCGCGAAGTGTGCCGAATTGTATCGAAGTTGGAGCTTTCTTAGCCAAGCCTTCTTCGGAAGTGAGTTTGAATTCTCGCAGGTTTATTTATGTCCCTTCGATCCGAGGTATTTTTACTAACGGAGTTTTGTACGCATCCATAATGTGTGATGCTTTGTTGAAGTTCATTGAGAAGTTACTAACATAAAAGGATGTTATACATAGACAGATATTATGATAGGCAAATAAAAAAATATATTGTTAAAAGTATAATTAAAAGTGATTACCAAGGTTTATGATAGTGAAATAATACCACTGCAGAGTTTCTATGCGTATTCTAACTTTTTGGTCTATGTATTACGGTCCACATACATTTTAATTTTAATCATTATGGCATTTTTAAATATGAATTCGATTACTTGTGTTCCGTTTTTAAATAACAATATAATGCACACTCAACCACACAGCATGCATGCAGTCAAAAACTGTCACTGTCAACGTATTTGAACAAAGTTTAAAGAATTTTTTTTCAATTTTATCAACTTTTATATCTTAGATGTCTTTTTGCTGCATTTAGTAAAGAAATCAATTAAACTCGACGTAATTATATTTATGTGTCATTTAATTATAATAGAATTGCATTTATTAAGAATAAGTAGTACAGTGATCGAATCCATATTTAAAAATTCATAATGGAGATCCATTTTCTGAGCGTTTCATTACAGTGTCGCATCAGTGGAAATAAAGAAGTCATTAGACCCCAGAATAAGTATAAGTAGCCATTATATCCATACTGAAAGCAAATTTTGATTTGTAAATGGTAGTACGTACTAGTTTACAATAGGCTGGCGTCACAAGAAGACGTCATTAACACATGCTAATACAAAATCACAATCATTCATAAAAATTCTATATTTTTTATATCATTTCAAGACTGATTGGTAAACGTTATTTGGATTTGAACCTGCGATTACGAATTCCTAGCTACCAAAACCCTAAAAACGTGTAGATACTATATATGGGATCTCTACGGCCGTTTCCACATACTCCTACTGGGTGCTCCTACTAGTAGTAGCACGAGGACTAACGTGTCCTTATGCTCCTACTGGTAGGACCAAAAGAATAAATAAGTTTCCTCGTGCTCCTACTCATGTACTGTCACCTATATGTATATGTAATTGATATTGAAGTACTCGTATGTATGTTATCGATTCTAGCTTCCATCTTCGTATATAATAAGATTCTGGTTGTTTTTCAAGCTTTGCCATTGACCTGGTTTAAAATTATTGTAAATGAAAAACTTTATACAAAAGTCCATGGTAGTGGTCCGTTTAGCTCTTTCAGGTTATTTCTGTATATACATTTAAATTACTATATTAATTTTAAAGAGCAACCCCTAAAGTTTCTTGATCATTCTCAGTTGAATCTGCCTTACGAAAGAGCGCAAAGTAACGATTTCAAGTGTAATTTTCTTTTTTACATACGAAATAAAGATATTTTTGACTTTTTTATTTTGATATTTTATTTAATCTACTTCAGTGTATTTGTTAGATACGACGTCACGAT